AGATATATATGTGATAAAAATTTCATCTCTCTATGTCAACAAAAAGTATGAAAAACATGATGAACAAATTTGATAATGGAATAAAATAATTAATTTATCTTTGAAATCGATTGTATTAGGTTTAGAGATTACAAGAAAACGTGACCAAGCATCGTCTTTGAATGGTCGCATATCTATAAGACAATTAAATAATTTATTTTTAAATGTAAATTAAACCAAATTGGAAAAACCGGTGATTTTTTGATAAAACATTCGTCGTTTTTTACTATGTTAATCGAAACATCTTTCATGTTGTTCAATCCGAGCATAAGATGGAAATCATGATCAAATTTAATTTTATTTCTATTAGGGGATGTATAAGATGAGATGCACATAGGTATGTTTCAAATCTTTCTTTTGGAAGAAAAAAAAAAGAAAAACACAGGAAAGGAAAAGGAAGGACGCGAGATGGAAAAATGTACTCGACTCCTCTCTCTCATCTGATCGAACTACAGAAAAAAGGTGATAATATATACCGGGTGGCCCATAAGTAAGGAAACGGAACAAAAAAAATTGAATATCTCTATTAAGACTTGACCAAAGAAGCTCATTTTTATATCAAGGCTAGAGACCTATTCACACTCCAAGTCCATACGGACAAGGTTAATGAGAATCTCTATTAAGTATCATTAGTGACCTCAATAAAAAACTTCACCTTTTCACAAATAGGAAAAATTCAATGTATAGGGTACCTCAAAAGTCAGTTTCCTGAAAAGAAAACTGAATATCTCGATAACGGTTCAAGCGAACAAGTTGATATTTTGACTAAAGATAGAGGCATGTTCATGCTCTAAATTCATCCGAACAAGGTTAGTGTGAGTCTTTGTTAAGTATATTTCTTTCTTTTCTAATCTGTGAAAAAGTAAAATTTTTTGTTCAGGTCAATAGTGATACTTACGAAGGTTCTCATTAACCTTGTCCGTATAGATTTGGAGTGTGAATAGGTCTCTAGTCTTGATATAAAAATGAACTTCTTTGGTCAAGTCGTAATAGAGATATTCAATTTTTTTTGTTCCGTTTCCTTACTTATGGGCCACCCGGTGTATATATGAGGGGAGTGAGAGAAAATGTAGCGGACCAATGTATTACATGATATCACATAACAAAGAGATATATCTAACAACAAAGAGTGATACTAGTGATATCATGTAATTCAATAGAAAAGAAAAAAAGAAACGGCAAAGGAAAAAAGACCTAGGAGATAATGGAGAATGAATCCATAACAATTTCATTTTTGAAATCTTCTAGTGATTTATCAAAATCATTACAATAGACGAATTGAGATTTATTTAATCGATGACAATGAATAAGTGAATAATGATGAGATTATTCCAAACCACATTCAATAAATTAATAAACAAAATCATGAAGATATTGTTTTCGTTGATGTCAATTGGACTTTGTCATGAATAAGATAACTTATTCATAACAATTCTATTCTCATTTGCAAATGAAATATTACCACAGAAAGCCTTTTTTTCTTTTCACTAGTTTTTTCCTTTTATGCGTTTCATTTTTTCCTATAGTAAAACACCCAACTAATCTAAGTGATTAACATAAAAAAAAAAAGAAAAACAAACGAAAATAAGAGAAAGACGGATGAAATAAGTTGTAAAAAACAAAACAAGATTAAGGGACAGTTAAAATATGGAAATAAAACCATACACTCACTCATAGAAAAAGCAAGGTTAACTTACGTAAAAAAGAAACTAAGTCAACAATATTGATATAGATAGATTATATATTAGCAGTTTTTTTTTGTTATCGATCAAGGATAAGATGATGATTGAAAAACATAAAGTATACTTCGTTGTGATGTTGGTTGAATAAATGCAGCTATAAAGGATAAATAACCTTTATTTTGCCTTCAATTAAAATTTTCAAATGTTTACCTGTTGGTTGATTTAGTGATTGACCATATTGTTGATCAGAAACTATTGGTTGCTGTTGTTCGTACATTGATGAGTATGTATTAATTGGAGTAAGTTGTTGTTGATTTTGTAAACGACGATTTTGTTTCATCATAAATGATGATGAAAAAACTGTCTTCATTACTAGTACTTCACCACGTGAACGTATCTGATTAAATGTTTTTACTGTAAAAATGAATTACAAATAAAAAAAACGTTTACTTAAGTTTTATTTTGTTACCTTTGATCATTAGATGTTATATATGGATTATAATTTCGATAACGATAACCTTGTTGTCTACCAATACTTTGATCAACAAAACTAACTAATGGACGATTATATGTTAATTTAGGTTGTTGAGAATTATAACTTATTTGATATGATTCAGGTTGGTCTTCAGCTGAATGTACTGGCGATGTTTCTTTTCGATCACATATTTTAGCTTCTTGATTCCAATATAAACCAGCTGCACATGGTCAAACATAAAGTAAATCACCATTAGATCGTATATAAGCATAAGCGCTAAATGCAAATGGACAATATTGTTTGCAATCATGTGATGCAGTCATACATAGGTTTGGTACAGTATCTATTAATAACAAAAAAAAAATTATTATTTAATTTTAATCTAAAAATAAAATTCAATGAGCATACTTCGCCCACAAGTTGAAGCATATGATTATCGTCCATCACAGACCCAAACATAATCTTGTTTATAATCGCTTGTTTTACAAATTTAAAAAATGAAATTTGAGACTTAAGATTGTGTTCTATTTGAATAATTTAAATTGAAAAAAAAACAAACGAAATTGAATTTAACAGTTTTTGAATTTCGAGTTCATGTCCGCATATGAGAAGACACCAGCTGAGAGAGAGAGAGAGAGAGAGAGAGTATCAAAAAGAAAATGGCTTATCCAGATAACGTTGACTTTAGGCCTCTGTAGTTTATTATTGCTTTCTCATTAGTCTGCTATGAGTTTCAAAAAAACACGAAAGATATCCTATTCTGCCTGATTTTGTCCATATATCTCACCATCAACAAATGACAGAAGCTTAAACTATTCTTTTTCAACTTACATCATAGAATTCTCTAATACTTTTCCACGAAAAGAATTCTGTGAATTATATTGATGAATTTTTTAAATGACAAAAATTGAAGATCTTCGCGATGTTATTATAACTTTCAGAAGTTTCAAGTGCAAAAATCAAACTTTGGTGACCTTCTAATTAGTGGCGGAGTCAGAAAAAAATTTGTAGGGGAGAACCAAGTCGGTTCGAAAAAAACACGAACCGATCTCATCTATGATTTGTACAAGAAGCTTAAAGGTTTCTGAAGGTGGCTGACTCACTTCTTCTAATTCACCGGCCTATTACTCTATATGAGATCATGTCAAGAAATACAAGTCGTTTCTCGCCGGAAACATGGTAGACATACATATTGGAAGCAGGAATCTGCCGAAAATTCACGGATTCGGATACTGAAATTATTGATCTGGCAATGAAACATGCAAAAAAAAAGATTTGAGATTTGCCTAATATTTTCCATAAGCATTCATGATTCTTATACTGTTTCATTTGAACTTTGTTTTTTTAATGGAATTTTTCATTAACAGTCTTCTAGAGAATTTAATGTTATACGATTTATCAGTGTTGAGATATTTGTAAAATATTGGATATATTGCCATCATCATTTTGACTCAAGTAGTGTAATGACACGCAAGGTTTACAATGGAACTCTAAAATAAAATGTTTTTTTTTTTACACTCTACTAACACGAGCAAAGTGTATATGTGCACTTTGTATTCGTCGACAAAGTGTACAAAAATGTATGTAGAACAAACTTTTCACAATCTAATAGAAAAAGGTATTCGTACTTTTTTCTTTAAAGTTAAATAAAATATAGTTCAATACTTAAATAACAAATGACTAATAAAAACATGTACAATTTCATAATCTGACACATTAACAAGAAAATGAAAGAGCAAAACGAACATGATTTCACCTAACAAACATAGACATTGTAGATAATATTTCAATTTCATTATCAACCGTAGAATGCACACCTCCTCCGACAAAATTTTATTTTTACTCCAAATTTCATTTAATTTCAATTGATTTTTCTTCATGAATCATAAATCTGAAGATAGAATTAGAACCAAAAATTATCTTTATTAGCATTGATAAAAACAAAAAGGAAGAATCGAATTAGTATTGATATTGAATTGAATCAGTTATATATGCAATACAATACAAATGCAATGCAAATATCGATTGAGAATGAGAAAAAAGATGAAAAGAAGGCATATCTAGTCAATGATAAAATCGGATGCAACATGTCATAATCTACTATTATATAAACTTAATCTTTAATTTAATATTATATAGAGTTGCTGAAATTAAATTTTAAATTTCTTCAGTAAAGTGTACAATGTTGTACACTCTATTTTTTTATGTAACGTGTAAAACAGAGTGTATTTTGCAAGTAGTAGATGTTCTATACATTTTGTTTCTGCTTGGTACACCTGCTATTGCAAATCTTGATGACACGTAGTTCATTATCGCCATCTATATTTCAATTTCAGAGAAGAATCAAATATCTAAGATTAAAATTACTTAATTTTGTTACTATACAATTCAAAAAAAATTATTATATTTTAAAAAAAAAATCAAAGCGCCATCTATATCGTCATTTGTCATAGTTTCCTCCATTAGTTAAATACTCCAATTAAATTATTTTGACTCTCTGCCATTTTGTTTATTTTCCGTTTTCATATCTTTGTTTCTAAGATCATTGACTGTCATCAGTCATTCAATCGGTTGTTTTACCCACTATTCTCATATAATATTTTCGTTCTTTTTCTTTTTTTTTGCATCGTTACTTCGAATGTCGAATGTCTAGTTCAGGGGGAAGTAACCCAAAAAAACCACGTATCGATTCAAATAGTTTACTTTCTGGTTTGTATTTTTTTTTGTTCATTCTTCTCGTTGAAGTTTTCAATAACAAAAAATTGTTTTTTTTCATCTAGCTATACCTACTCGAATGCCTTTAGCAAATGGTCCTAGTACATCAGGTACTCGTCCACTTGTTGCATTACTTGATGGACGTGATTGTACAATTGAAATGCCAATATTAAAAGATATGGCAACGGTTGCTTTTTGTGATGCTCAATCAACATCAGAAATTCATGAAAAAGTTTTAAATGAAGCAACAGCTGCATTAGTTTGGCATGCAATAACATTAAAAAAAGAAGATTTAGCAAAATTTAAAGCATTAAAATTAATTGTACGTATTGGTTCAGCATATGATAATATTGATATAAAAGCAGCTGGTGAACAAGGTATTGCTGTAGCGAATGTTCCATCACAATGTGTTGAAGAAATGGCTGATACAACATTAAGTATGATATTAAATTTATATCGTCGTACAGCATGGTTAGCACAAACAGTTAAAGATGGTAAACGTATATCAACACCCGAACAAATTCGTGAAGTTGCAACTGGTTGTGCAAGAATTCGTAATGAAACATTAGGTATTGTTGGTCTTGGTCAAGTTGGTATGGCTGTTGCTTTACGTGCAAAAGTATTTGGTTTTAATGTTATATTTTTTGATCCTTATCTTTCTGATGGTATTGAAAAAGTTTTAGGTATGAATATTTGAAAAAAAAAAATAAGAAAAGAAGAATTATTTGATTTTTATTTTCATTAATAGGAATTACTCGTATATTTACATTACAAGATTTACTTTATCGTTCGGATTGTGTTACACTTCATTGTTCACTTAATGAACATAATCATCATTTAATTAATGATTTTACTATAAAACAAATGAGACCTGGAGCATTTCTTGTTAATGTATCACGTGGTGGTCTTATTGATGAAACAGCATTAGCTGTAGCATTAAAAGATGGTCGAATTCGTGGTGCTGCACTTGATGTTCTTGAAAATGAACCATACAATTTAGCTGCTGGTGAGAATCTTCTTTTTTTTAGAAACTATATATGTGTTATATAGAATTATACCACTGATGAGAGACAGAAGTGTAGAGTTTAATTATTTTTGCGGGTACAGACATATAGTAAGTGATGCAATAATACTAAACTTCGAAAGAGTCAATTCAATATTCAGAGAGATGGCACGTAACCAGAAGATCTGCCCTATGACCTTGTGAAAAATCTATGCAAGACAGTTTCAATGATGGGAATTATTACGTTTTTCCTACTTGTGGTGATGAGACGGTGTCCATCCATGGTTACGTCGTCCTCTCGATCTCTCCATGGGATAAAACATTTTGTATAGAAAATGATTTCTGTCATAGATCGTGTCAATAATGTCCTCCTCTAATCACAACAGCGCCCTCTTTTTTTCTTCTTCAACAATTCCTTAACAACGCTTTCTTATCAATCATTCATTTTTATTTGATTTTTTTTAGGTCCATTAAAAGATGCCATAAATTTATTATGTACACCACGAACATCATGGTATAGTGAAGCTAGTTCACAAGAAATTCGAGAAAATGCAGCACATGAAATACGTCGTGGTTTAACTGGAAAAATGCCTGGTTCACTTCGATATTGTGTTAATAGAGATTATCTTAATGTATCACGTAAGTAATTCAAAGATGACTCCAAAATTGGATATATTGAAATAGACTTTCTATATATTATTGTATATATTCTACGATGTACTGTTGTCATGTTAATAAGATGATGTCATCTATTGACATGACAACAATATGCAGTAGAATAGTCTATTTCAACATATTCAATTCTATAGGTAAAAGTTTCTATTTGTATTGAAAAATTTATATTTTTAGGTTCAACTTATGATGGTGTTCTTAATGGAGTATCACCATTTTCATCATTATTTCCATTAGGTGCTCCATTTCTTTCTCAAACAGCAGCTAGTCAACTATTAGGCGATTCATCTATTCAACAAACACTAACTGGAACATCAAATAGCAGTACACCATCATTACTTTCATCTGCTGGTAATAATTCATCTGTAGTTGTACCACTAAATATTGGAGAATCAGCTCTACAATCAGCAGTTAAATCAGCTGCTATTTCACATGGAAATAATAATGGAGGAGATTCGGCTAGCGGAGATTAACATATATTGAAAATTATTATTTCTGTTTTTTTTTGCTTGCTTCTCATTTGTTGTACATTTATTTCATTGTAGTTTGCTTATGTATGTGCGTCTGTAGTTTTTCATTTCACACGAATCCTATCTACATGTATGTTTTGTGTGGGATATATATATATATATATATATACATATATATATATATTTGTCATATGTTTCTTTAAATACTTATCTGTTTCGGCTTATAAAGTAATTTGTTTTCGTTGACTTGAATTAATAGTTCCTTTTCTTTTCTTTTCTTTATACACACAAATAAAACTTGTGTTCATAAACACTTATACATGAAAACAAAAATAAAAAGATATATCTATAAGATATTTGTTTTAAATATTAAAAAAATATTCTATGTTAGTTTTTGTAGAATAGAATTATATGTAATGTAATATGGAATAATAGACTTATGTACGAAGCATGTTACGATCAA